ACTGAAGATGAAACTCAAATACTTTGGCCACCTAATGAGAAGGAAGGACTCCCTGGAGAAGAGCCTAATGCTGGGAACAATAGATGGCAAAAGAAGAAGGGGACAGCAGAGGTGGCTGGATGGAGTCACTGAAGCAGTTGGCGTGAGCTTAGGTGGACTCTGGGGGATGGTGGAGGACAGGAGGGCCTGGAGGAATTTTGTCCATGGGTTCGCAATGGGTTGGACACGACTTCGCGACGAACAACAACAGGTTTCACAAGTTTCAAAAGAACTTAAGTGCCCTGGTGGACCTAACATGTCCCACAACTTTTTTCCTATAGTACCTAAGCAGATGCCTATGTATGATCATGATACAGGAAGAAAAACTATTCACAGCCTACCTTCTCATTCCTTACATGGAAGTACTATAAGTGCAGGAACACTGACAGATTAGAAGCAGCCCCAAACTCAATATGTGTGAAAAAAAAAATCAGGCTTTTCATGGTCTTGCAGCAAGGATAGCCATAATATTAATGTCACAATATTAATCAAGTGTAATTTGACATCAGTATATTACATTCACTTTGCAGTATTACAAAAATGATTCTTCTTTTTTGAGAACATGTCTACGAATCACTAAGTAAAACCCATTTCCCAAGTAACAGCCAGACAGAGACAAGGAGAATGGAAAAGAAATGCGTTGCTATAAAGCCATTTCTATGTGTATAAAAACGCCTGTTCCTGCTTAGAATACCTGCCTGATTACTCAGCTTCAAAGGCACACAGTGGTTACTTATCCCTCAGGAAGTGTGGTAGATTCATGATCATGACAGTGATGGAACACTCTGCTTCAAAAAACAAAAGCTAAGCTGCAGCCTCTTTTGGACATGGAAACCTTTTCTATCTGGGCTGCTTTTTGATGACCAGGACTACACTTTGAATTGGTAATGGAGCGACATGGGCATGGACATTGGAAGCTGCCTTATGCTCAGCCTCACCACTGTTCCATATAGCATACAATTCTTGACACCGACTAGCAGCAGCTGTCTAGGCTTTCAGGCAGAATTCTGTCCTAGCTGTACCTGGAGTTGCTAGAATTAGAACATCTGCATGCAAAGCGTATGCTCTGACACCCAACAGAGCGTTTGGACCCATACACTTTGTTTTAAGCATTTAAATTGGATATTTTACTTGATGCATTTTATATTTGTAACCGGTATAAAAAGGCAGCCCTATGCATGCCTACTCAGCCCTTATCTTGAAAGCTTACTACTAAATATGTGTTTACGGGACTGCAGCCTTGATTGGTACCTCTCTCCCTAAAAAAGACAATAGTCATTGTAACCTGTTGAATATCTTGTCAATAAGGCTGGGTAAATGATTGGTTAATCTGCCCAGGTATCCCAAAGCCTACGCATCATCAAGGGTCTTGAGACATTTGGTCCTCAAGGTGGTATTTCTCCTTTCTGTTTGCTGCTAATGACTGTCCCCTTTATTGATTGATTGATTGATTGATTTATATCCTGCCTTTTTCCTAAGGGCTCAAGGCAGCTTACATCTCCTCCTCCATCTTATCCCCACAACAACAACCCTGTGAGGTAGGTTGGGCTGAGAGTCTGTGACTGGCCCAAAATCACCCAGTTGGCTCCATGGATGAGCGGGGACTAGAACCCAGATCGTCTGAGTCCCAGTCCCATGCTCTTAACCACTATAACACACTTTGCCTCTGTACTGGCCAGAATGCTTCTCATTATCTCACAAAAGCCTGACTTTCCTCCCAAGTAGGAATGCTTTTTTATATCCATCCCATATTACTGCTACTTTATTTATTTATTTATTCATTCATTCATTCATTTCATTACTTTTCTGTTATACCCATTAGCTGAAGCTCTCTGTGCCGTTAACAACAATTAAGACTTTAAAATACAATGACATAATAAAACAGATGCTTTTAAAAGTTTAAACTGTGCTATAAAAGCCTGAGTAAAAATGCATTTGGGAGCAAAAACATGACATAGAATATCTAGTCTAAACAAATATTAAAATGTGCATTTTAAATATATTTTAATGTATTTAATGTATTGTGCTATATCTTAATCAAAGTTTTCTGGATGTATAACAAAAAGATTTGAGAAATTTGAATGTGTTTGAGAAACAAAAGTGATCAGATTTGTTGAGTGTTTTATTCTTGAATGTTTGGGTTTGAATCCCCATGTACTCAACCATGTCTGTGCTAAATAAGAGTGACTGCATCTTTTTCCTGATAGCATCCTCAATTTTAGCATCTTTATGTCAGGCAGGTATATCATGGTCCTCCCCATGAAAAAAGCAGTTTTCCCAATCAAATGATAACTTCATTCCAGTACAGATGATGATAACTTCATTCCAGTTTGTTTCTGAGAAGAATTTAACAAAGTTTGAAAGTTCTTCATATTCATGGCAGAAAGTATTTATTGAAGGAGAAATTGAAAATGACAGATTGGCCCATCCTAGTGCATGTGCATTTGTGGGGTGAGAGAGAGGAAAGAAAGAAAGAAAGAAAGAAAGAAAGAAAGAAAGAAAGAAAGAAAGAAAGAGCTAAAACAGATGTAAGCTTTATGGGGAACTGAAGGTCTTTCTAGTATGTGTTCTGTATCTTCCAACTTAATTCAATATGTTTTGCCTAGCTCACTGTACAAATTCACATCTAATCCTGATAAACTCATCTACATCACACACAAGTAGAATATAGCCTTTATTTGCCTGTATTTATGGATGCATTTGATTAAGTATCCAGTATGTTGCAATTCACTCATAAGTTTGATGTTCAGCATTTTATTTCTGCATGTGTGCCAGAGTATAATTGGTTAAGACAACATATTTATGTCATTAGCAAAGCTTTTAATTATTTTTTTAAAAACTACAATGATTCTCTTTAGTAGGTTTTGTGATCTTCCCCCATTGCAGATCTGTAGAAATACCAAACGGACTCTTATTCATGTGGTGTGGTTAATTATAACAAGTAAGCAGGGATAAATTAGGTCTATGCATGTCCCTCTTGGATATTCACTTGTATTATGATGGATTGATGCTTCATGCAATGGAAGTCCTTTTTGAATAGGCATCTGGACTGTTGCTTAGTTGGTAAGAAAGACAGCACAGCTAGGCTATACATTCAGTGGCAACTGAGAAAGCCATGCTTTGTATACATCTGACCTCAGACGTCTGCTATTTGCGAGGATGAGGAAGCAATACAGAGGTCACATATCTGAAGAGCTGTTGCTGGGATCAAAGAGAACACACACTCATACACACACACCCTACAGCTAACAACATTTTGCCAAACATTCCAGAAACATATACAGTGATGGGCACCTATATGACAAAAGTGGTGTTGATCCCGTGTAGCCCCAGTTAGGGGGAATGCAAAGGCTGCAGATCTCTGCAGTTCAAGCAGAAGAGCGGATTTATTTATTATTTTATTTATTTGTTTGAAATTTTTATATGCCGTCCTATTCGCAGAAGCCTCGGGACGGCTTCCAACATTATAAATAAACAATCATACAGATAAGAATATATAAAATCTGGATTCATCCTGGCTAAAAATTTAAAACCAATAAATAATATTAACAATTATTAAAATATCATTTAAATAAAAAGGTCTTAGCCTGGCGCTGAAAAACGTATAACGACGGCACCAGGCGGACCTCTCTGGGGAGCGCATTCCATAAGTGGGGCGCCACTGCAGAGAAAGCCCTCCTCCGGGTACTCACCCTCCTAATATCTGAATGAAGCATAACTCATTTCTGCTGAGAATGACCTGTGGTTAGTATCTTGAGTTTTAAAAATGAATGCTGGGTGGAGGCAAGAATATGACTCAAATGCTCTCCCAGCCAGAAAGGAGAAAGCAGGGATCCTTTTTATGCACAGTGTGACTCTTCGCTGTCCTACAGGAAGGGGACTGAGCATTAGACAATACAGGAGCAGAGCTTCAGCCATCTATCCCAAATGGCCTAGTGGGCAACACATTGCTCAGGAATGACATGCTGCTTGTTGCTGATCCAGTGGAAAGACAATTGGACTTGAACATATGAACAACGATAGATCATTGATCCAGTTAGCTTAGCCGCAAATCAAAACCCAGCTCTGACATTGGGGAACCTGAGCTCAGGCCAAGGATTGGATCTGGACTGGTGCTGGACTCAGGAAATCCAAAATCAAGTGCCCATTCAGTGCATGATTTTGGGCCAGTCACTGAGGATCATAGTTGCCCCCTGCAGTGGGCTGAAAGGTATTTTGAAACCCTAGAAAATGACATGTCAGCTCCAGTTTGCCTACAAGGGAATTCTTTGCTGATTAATTGAATCAGCTTTCAATGCTTAGCATGTTCTCAGTCGACAGATGAATCAGCAAGCTCCTATCAACTGGAATGGATGGTTAGCAAAACTTGCTGGCCTGAGCAATAGGTCCAGTCAAAGGAGTTTGATCTAAGCACATAGTTATACTCTTTTTGCTACTCATGCCATTAAGCCTTTCAGTCTAACACTAGTAAAACAACATTAAAGTAGACTTCTAGACTTCTCAGCCTAGAAGTCCAGATGCAGCTAGGCAACCTATTGATAAGCAGAGTTATAGGGAGGGCTACAGATTCCCACAGCACCACATCTAGCTGAAATGGAAGCTATTGGGTACTGGATTGCAGGCCTCGTTGTAGTCTCTGACAGCAAGTGCCTGCTCATTAACTAATGTTGACCCTATGAGGTGACCTTTGTCCATCTTCTCTGCTGAGCCAGACAATATGGAGGCTTTGTCCAAAACATGGAAGTCATCCATGGCCTACACTGAACTTTCTCACAGGGTTGTTGTGAAAATAAATGGCATGAAGGAGGACAGTGCAAGCTGCCCTGGGTTCTTTTTAAGAGGACAACAGGTGGAGGAGAAGCATAATCAGTGTGGTGTAGTGGTTAAGAGCATGGGACTGGGACTCAGATGATCTGGGTTCTAGTCCCCGCTCAGTCATGGAGCCAACTGGGTGACTTTGGGCCAGTCACAGACTCTCAGCCCAACCTACCTCACAGGGTTGTTGTTGTGGGGATAAGATGGAGGAGGAGAATGATGTAAGCTGCTTTGAGCCCTTTGTATGAAAAAGGCAGGATGTAAATAAATAAATAAATAATCATAAATGCAAAATGGATTTGGATATCTGTTCAGACATAAAGGTAAATTGATAACCTTGGACTGGTTACTATCTGTCAAATTCTACTACCTTTCCCAGTGGAAATGGTGTGGGAGTTCAATGGAGGGTGGATTAAAATATATAGATTACTGCTCAGAAGGACAGGTCCAGTTTTGCATTATATCTAGGTTTCTTTGAGCTGGGCACAAATCAACATGGATCACTCATCCTGTTCCAGAATTCCATTCATCTTTCACAACAAAATGAAAGGTGCGTTAGACACCTCCCCTGAGGAGTGGAGAGAAGGTGACAGCCAACTGGGGAGACCCATGTGGGAAAGGCCCTAATACACTGCCTGACCTAAGCTGGAAATCACACACAGCATTGTCTACCATAAGGAGTCAACCGGTTATTCATAAAACGTGGTGTAAAATGTGCTGTGTTCTTTCCCACGAAGAGACTTTGTGGCAGAACTTCTTTTGGGTGGAAGTTATTCCTTGCAAACATCAGTTGCTTTCTGTTCTTACCCAGACTAATTTGGCTACGGGAAGATGAGAAAACTGGCTGAGAATTGCTGAGATGCATGTTAACCTATAGAGTTTTGGAGCATTTGTCAGGAATATGCCAAAAACCAAATAATTTTTTGGGCCAAGAAAATAGTCTTTGCTACCTAACACAGACAACAGTTGTTCTTGATATAATATGGGATAATTCCATGTATAGCTCTTTCGAGGTATACTGACCTCCTTAGTGGAAGGACTGCATATATGTATATATGATTAATAATAATAACCACTATTAAAGGAAAATGACCTGTATTGGAAACAGAAGTTTCTATTTCTGCTCATGTATAAATTGTACATTAAAACAGAGAGAAGAAAATACAACAAATATAGATTCCATGGATTTTCAAAGGTATCCAGCTGTTAACGGCCAAAACATGGATTTGGTAATGAAGTGTAAAATATATTTGTTCATACCCTTTCAGTTGATAGATACACCAACCTTGGCACCAAATGCTTGTACTACACACTCTTATCTGTTAAGATAATAAAGCAACTTTGAAAATAATTAATAATCTTGTAATGTATTTTCACTTAAGTGAAAACATCTGATGTAGCTTTGACTTACAATCTGGGCTGAAAGTAAAGCCTTCATAAAAGGAATGATTTTATTATCAATATACTATCTCAAGGAAACAAAATAAGAAACACAAGTTAGCTGGAATTTATCCTCCCCAAAAGAGGATTAGAACAGATGCATAAAAACATGAACACTGAACTTCTAGAGGAGCTAACACATATACAGAAGCAAACTTGATTTAATGAGTAGTCAGATGCAAAAGTCTTTTGAGGAAGCCAAAAGCAAGCAACCCCTCCCCACCAAGTAGCTTATATGTTCAAAACTTGCTGGGGAACAAAAAACATTTAAAAAAACAAAAACAAAAAACCATTCTTGCCATTCCAAAAGTGTGAACCCAAGTTTTTGCCCATGCTAACACTGTGCTTGTTGGAAAATACAGCTGTAAAAAGAAGACTAATTCAGAGAGTGAAGGACTTGGCAAACTTTTCTGAGCCTTAGACAGAAATACTTCTGGTAGCTTAACCAGGAGACCAAGACAGATCAGATCAGGTCAGATTTCCAACAATATCAAACCACTAGTTCTACTAAATTTACTGAGCATGCTGATCCTTTTATACACAAAAGCCAGACTAAAAGGAAACTTAGGATGGCTTCTGTTGTGGCTGTCCATAACCCCCAGACTCAGAGGATTACAGGCATTCGGGGAAAGGCAGGAAATGTGTGGAAGCAGGGATTGCTTCCCTTGCTCCCCAAAAACACTTAGATGACTGGTTTTGGTCACCCACCGCTTGTGAGGAGGTAGGTCTGAGCCACCTCCAAGATTCCTCATATCCCCATGGAGTCGACCCTTCCCACCCCCTTGAAATGCCAACCCCATGCTAGTTCCAAAGCCACATGCATGACTTTGGAACGTCAACCGGCATCAAAAGAAATCACATCAGCTGTGTGGGTACTCTAAATTCTGAGCCCAAGCTTAGATCTTTGAGAATTTTTGTTTGAACAGAGCTGGGATGCTGAATTTTCTTATGGCTGTCTAGAAAGCAGCTGGTGACCACAGGACTGCACCTCTGGTTGGGTTCAGTTGGTAATATACCCTCATTTTAATTTTTTCACTCTGCTTTGTACCCAAAACACTATGATGCAGTCTAAGCTAGCAATTAGGTCTACATTATCAATTACATTTGCTGTTGCATCTAACTGTGGAGGAGGAGGAGGAGGAGGAGGAGGAGGAATCGTCCCTTGAGCCAGTATCCAACTCTGCCTGTGTATATCTACTGATTATGTTTCACCAGTGGGACCTACTGCTGACACATAGAAAACTAGCACATCCTAGAGCAACTGGGAAACAAGCTGGTGCTAGATCCCAGTGGTGCATATGCAATACAAGATACTGCCTTCAGCTTGCATCCTTTAGGGTGGGCATGTGATCCCATGTGTGCCATTACTATTGCAACAGAATGATAGCCTCATTTGTCATTTGAACAGAAAAATAAATAGATAAATAAATAACAATGCCTGCAGTTTAAAGATCTTGATGTTTTCCCTGGTGAAATCAGTGCTTCCCAAATTACACAGAAAATGTCAATAGTTTCCTAATAGTGATATAACCATACAAGCAACCCAAATAAGAAACCAGTTAAAAGTCCAAGGATGCTACTTTTCAGTACTAGAATGATAAAATAAAGAATTTTTTATGTACCACAAATTTTGGTACATAATGAGGAAACAAATGTGCAAGCAGCCACCCACTCGTGCAGTGTGACTTTATTTATTATTTATTATATTTATATCCTGCCTGTTTTCTATAAGGAATTTGGGGTGGCCTTCTTGATGCTCTTCCTCTCCATTTGAACCTCAAAACAAGCCCGTGAGCTGAGAGTCAGTGACTTGCTCAGAGTCACTCAACAAGTTTCATGGATGAGTAGGGTCAAGAAACCAGCTCATCTAATGCCCACTCCAACACTCTAACCACTACACCCTGATGGCTCTCTCACGCCAACTTTATAGTCATCTCCTTCTCCTGCAGCCCCTTGTTCCTGCTCTGAATGGCCTCTCATCTATCTGGAACAGACTGAAACTGAAGTGGCTCTTGTGTTGAGAGATCATCAGCAGTCCAGACGGCCAACCATCTGGGCTCTCCATCCAGACTGACTGGAGAGCCCAGAAGATTTGTTTCATCCCCACCTGAAAGCAGGGGTTATGGGGCCTCAGACTTTGACCCCAAAGTCTGCACCCAACAGTCCCATTATTTAAATTCAGTTTTGATAGTGTCAGGTGGTTGGTTGAATCAGCAGTTTTGGGATCTTCAGTCTAACCCTGCATTTCCAAAATTTGATGAATTTACTGTAACCAATTTCATAAATCAATTATTGAATAGCTCCTGAATTTAAATTAAGTATAAATAAAATTCATAATGATACTAACAATACATGCAGGAGTTAAATCAGGATCCATGCACGTCTGGCAGGTCTTCCCCCAAACATATTTTTATTGAAATGTCTGTTCATATCTAAGGTGTTGCTTAATTATTATATTTTGTTTTAGTCAGTGTTAATTCTGATAGGGAAGATGGGCAACACAACAAAAAGAGTATTGTGTTTTTGTACGAAATCTCTCATTATCTAAAAACATCCTGATAACCTCCATAAAGTGCACACCGTTCTTTTCCCCTGTAGGAAAGACCAAAAGTAGAAAAGGACAGAAATTTCAAAATTGACAGGAAAAAGGAAGGAAATAATATAGTATTTTGAGCTGTTGGCTACCTTATCTGTTTCCAAACAATGATAAAGTTTGGATACTAACACAGGAAAGTGTTGTTACATATTCATTTTTCATTAGTATTATTTTAATATATTAATTATTTAAATTTATTGTATTGTTATTTTAGCTTCCAATTCCTATACCATGACTATTTTTGCCATTTCATTTTGATGGGTGTATGATTTGCTTAAAATGTTCTGTTGTATGTTCCAGTTTCATTTTTATTTATTTAATTAAAAAGATAAAAATAAATCACCCAATTTTGGGATTCCCAGCAAATATAGATCCACCTAGTTGTATGTTAATTTTTTTAAAAAGTAAAGGTGCAAAGAAGGTAAGTTGGGGTGTGAAATAATACAGATTTCTTAAAGAACGGTCCAGGCTTTGCTCTCTATTTCCTCCCCTCACCCCTCACCCCCAGTTTGCAACAGAATCCCACATGGTTGTGCTATTGCCTTTCAATCAGACTTTGCAGATCTACCCCGTGAAATCTAACTGCTGTAGGGGCAGTCTTTGAACTGATCATCTGGATAAACTTTTAGTTGCTGGTTACTCTCAATAAAGAATTAATCTTATGCTGTAGGCTAGCCCAGAGAACTGTGAATGACTCCAATTAAGAGGCGTGAATATCATTTACACCTTTCTGTTCCACTCTAAGAAAGGCTACAGCTGCAAAACAGACTCAAAAAGTGGTATTTCAAGCAGAAATTGAAGCCCAGATTTAAAATCATGGCTCTTTAGTGGAAAAAATATGCAGCATCTTAAGGAGACTAAAATAATTACTTCCCTGCTGTTTGTTCTCACATGGAAACAGAAACAGAAGAACATAAGACAATGGCTGCAGTCCAGCGCTCATTGATTTCAATGAGGTTTAAACCACTCAGCTGTGCTCTGGATTGCCACCAATGGTAAAAAATACTTCCAAATATTTAATGGTCTTCTTTTAAAAGAAAAATGTTAC